CTCGAGCCTGGCCTCAAAGACAATGGGGCTGATTTATAAACCGGGAGCTGAAAACACCGCACCATTTTGCAGTTGCAGGATTTACTCCGAGGCCCAGAAACATACCTGGGAAGGAGATAATGCTTTTCTAGGCTTCTTCACTGTGCTTCAGGCATTGGAAATTTTTTTAAAATACAAACTACATTTGTCCTGAAATCACCTGATGCTGGAGTTTTTAAAGAAAAGCACCGAAATAACATGAGAAAAAATAACACTAGACAGCAACGCTGACTTTAATACCCTCCATGCCCTTACAATGTGACTACCTGCCTTGCAAACTCACCCAGCGTATCTTTTGTTATTAAGCCCAAGTCATACCCCAGTCCTTCCATAACAAACCAGTACCCAGAGCCAAACACAGTGTAGGTAGAGAATATACACTTGCTGCACTCAGTGCGAGAATAATGCACCAAACCATGTGTTGACCCTGTAACATCTTTTAGAAACTCTCCTGGCCCTGACCCAGCCAAAGCCCAGACGGCTTGAGCGGTGCTTTGTATTTGGGAACTGCGCCAGGAAATCGCAGACCCTGGGAATGCAGCAAGTCCTGGGATTTTGGGAAATAACAGGCAACATAATCACGAAATGACCTGGCTTTAAGCAAGTGACAGCGCTACAGGCTGTAAACCTACCCCAGCCGCCAGCAGCGCAGAGCATGAGGATCCCAACAGCCACGTAGAGTTTTCCCATCTTCTCCTCTGAGCCCTGAGCGTGGGGGGCTGCTCGGACCAGCCCCACCGTGAGCGATGGAGAGGAGCTCTGGGCTGGCCAGAGCATTTGAGCAGTCCAGGAGATGAATCATGAGTCTGGGTGTATGACACACATGGCGAGCGGGGCCGGACGGAGGAAACTGCGCTGGTTCGTCACTCAGTTTTGAGTCAGGGAGTGCCCCCGCCCGCTCTGCCTACAGCTCCTCAAGCTTTTTTTGCTCTCTCAGCTCAGGCAAGGACCTAATAAACCCTGACTGCAAGTACACACACTGGTGACCTACAGCCCCGGGGCTGGTAACAGGCTCTTTCCCATAGGCTCTTTCGCCTGGGTTTAATTCCTTGCAAAATCATCTTGCTTACTCCCTCCTTTTATTAACTCTTGCATGAAAGGCAGCCTAGGTTTTAAACTCAGTCTGAGCTGCCTCTGAGTTAAAGGATTTAAGAGGAAATAGAGCAAACACACAGAGACAGAAAAGTGTGGGTTCTCAGCCCCCCTCCCCAGAGCATTGGTGCAAATGGGAATATCTCTGCTGGAATGGAGCTGGGAGCTGAGACCCAGCCAGGAATTGGACCTGGTGAAACCAGCAGTTTGGGTATAAACCTGGACATCGCGAGGGAAGGGAAGTTCAGCTTTGGGTCAGATAATCTGAACCTGATTTTCTTCTCACTTGTATTGTTTTTTCCCCCTCTGTGTCCTCAGAAATTGTAAGCGAGTACAGGGAGTCGGATCTGCACAAGAATTGTCCCTGCTGAAACAACAGAGCTGCTTGTGGGTGCCTCCCAAAGGGGCTTTATAAACCTCTTGTTCCCCTGTGATAACAAGGTCCTTCTTGGAGATGGGGAAACTGAGGCACTCAAAATACAGGCTGGAGGGCACAAGGGGGAAAAGGGCTGTTTCCCTGGAGCCCAGGGCTACTCCCTCCCACCAGGTGACAGGGGCTGGGGACAGTAATGACACAACCCTGGGTCAGGATGATCCGACACACAGAAACGCCAGGCAGCAGAAAACGAGCTCGTGTGGGTGCTGAGAGCGGCAGGCCTGGTGCTGGAAGCTGCGGGGTGATGTGCGAGGTGCTGTACGAGAACCACGGCCCCATGCCGGGAGAGATGGGGACAACGGCGTCTGCCCCAGAGCCGTGCAGCTCTCAGCGAGAGATGATGGTGTTTGCGAGAGTGAAATGGAGATGGGGACTCAGCCCCAGGAGCCGGGGACTTTTCTCGGCTTTAAAAGAAATTTTGGTGCCTCTCCGCTTCCCCACGCAGTCTCACCGTTCCTGTGGGGTGCTGCTGCCCTCCCGCGGCTTGCATGGGCTCCGCTCATCAGGGGATCATTTTCCTGCTGCGATCCAGCTCCCTCCCCAACACTTGTTAATGAGTATTTAGTAAAGGGGACTAGGAGAAGCCCATCCACTCTCACACAGAGTTAAAAAAGGGCTGCACCTTGGCTGGGACATCAATACAAACCCCAAACCTGCTTTCTGGGGGGCTCTAGGTCTTGTCCCACTCCAGATCCAGTCATCTCGCACTACAGACACCATTAGCCAGTTTTAGGGTATCTAAATTCCTGGTTTTTCTGCACATGTCCTACCTGGAAATGCTGCCTATGTGGCCTTTTCCCATCATGCGGGGCTTTTTGGCCACACGGCAGCCTGTCCCCATGCGCTGCACTGCATCACCCTGCGAGCATGTCTGGTGCTTGATGGAAGGGACAATGAATTTGTCTAAGTTTCTAAAGAGAGAAATGTGGGAGCCCTGCTCTGCACGCCCCACAGACCTGACCTGCCATCAATCTTGCAGCCCCTTTTCGCTGGGGTACTCATCCTGCCGAGCAGCTGGTTGCCCGAATTAGAAAGCACTGCAGGCTTCAAAGGGGCACACAGCCCTGTCTGTCCTGAAACTCCCTACCCAGCAGGAGCTGCAATACTCCAGCCCTTGCTTCCAGCATGGTGCAAAGATGTTGAAAAAGAAGGAAAGAGGCACAAAATGAAGTATTTGACCTGCCTGCTCTTGTCCTGCCTGAGGACAAGGATGGCATGAATTTAATTCAGCACATTTGGACTGAATTTTCATGCCAATTGCAAGAAGGTGCTGCTTGTCCTGAAAACATCGCTGTGATGTTAACTCTGGGCACCATGTAATAGCTAATGGGGTGCTCTGGGTTTTGAAGTCCCTGTTTGGATGAAGGCAAGGAGCAGGCAGTGTTTGAGAGCCGAGTGGCCCCATGACCCCAGCTGCCCCATCACCACAGGCTGTGACCCAGGAGCGATGGGTGCAGCAGCCTAAATCTGTGCTCGGGTGTGCAGGGAGAGAAGAGACTGGAGCTGGAGCCACCAGAGGGAGCAGAAACTCCTTCAGTCTGGGAGCGAGATGGGGAGAGGAGCTCCCACCCGGGCTGGGAGACCAGGGATGCTCTGGTTTCCCGTGGGGATTTTCCTGGCCCTTAGGTTAAATATGAGCAGATGCTCTTGTTGAATCAGGGCTTTCCACCTTCCTGCAACAAGCACTTCTGCTGCAAACTGCCCTTGCGGACCAGGCAGCCCTTCAGGGAGAGAAACACCAAGTGCAAAACAGGAGGAAAAAGCAATAAGTAAAACCCAAACCAAACAGGTTTTGAGCCCCTATAGTCACTGCAGCAGAACAGGGACACAGGTCCCAGCTGCCTAAAAGGAAAATCAATTGACACTCTACCAAGCCACCCTCCATCCTCAGCCAGCCAGCCTCACGCCTCTGCCTTTAGCTGCAATTTATCAAATCTCATTTAGGCTTATTAAAATCCCCTTCAGGGGCTGGGCAGAGAAAGCAAGCCAAGATGTACACAGATAAAGCAGGACAAAGTCCCCACATTGTGGCTCAAGGGTGATCTTCTGTTCTATGCCATCCAGACACGTTTCCAGGCAAACATCAAAGGACAAAGCTGGGAAAGCCGGGACATGGCTGTTCCACGGGCATAGTCCTGGGATGGGCAGGGTTGGGACTAAGCCAGACATGACTGGACAACCTGACTCATGCTTTCATTTTGGGAGATTATGCAGACAAGGAGAGGGGAGCAATGATGACAATTCCCCTGGGATTCCCTTGCTGGGGCTGAGGGGCCCGAGGGACAGGGTCTGCAATGCTCCAGCTCTAGGCACAGCAGTGATGCTGCTGGAGGACCCAGAGCTGGGGGCATGGCAGGGAAGGGGTATCGGGCAGGGATCAGGGTGCAGCATCGCAGTGCTCCCCTTCAAAGTGGCTAAAGGAGCAGGAGAAGAGAAAGACAAAGGTGCCTGGGGAGGAAACCCCCAGACAGAGGAATATAAGGATGCAGAGGGGGATGGATCCAGCTCTCATCTGGAGGCACAGGACAGGCATCACTGAGCAGAGCTGGGAGTGGACTGGGCTGGATTGGGCCAGCACTGCTCTAAGAAGGAGTGGGTGGCACAGAGCAGCAACCGGGGATCGTCCAGAGCAGCGCTGACCTGAGGCTCAGGGAGCCTGCGTGGGGGGGGACAGCAACCTGCCAACGGTCCAAGAAGAACACCGACCATGCGGGCTGCTTTTGTGAGCAGGTGGGGGGATCTGGGAGGAAGGATGAGTTTGCTGCCTCTCTGCAGGGCCTTCGGGGTCAGCCCCCACTTGGGGGTGGCACAGGAGTGGGTGCAGGCACCCGTGGCAGGGGCAGGG